AGAAGAAATTCAATATAAATAAGTGAGTGATTTTGATAAATTTTTCAATGAATATTTTTAAAATATGATCAATCTTAGTGATCTTAATATCATTAGCAATAGTAAAACTTTTTATTTTTACAGTCGCATTAGTAAAAGATAAGTTGAGAAGGCTTTGAAGAAAATCAAGGTGGAAAATCTGTGGGACTAAATGATATCTAGAAGATTTGAGATATTCTTGGCTTATTAAACTATTTAATATTATTTTTAAAACTAAAAAGATGCTCGAGGAGTAGAGGAAGAGTATTTTAGTCTCCATTTCAAGAATAAAGGGGATGTATAAGTTTGTGCAAAATATAGAAGAATTATGAGAGATGATAATTGAACATAGTTTAAGACGTGACACAAAACTTACTCATAATCAATTTATATTTATGCGGGGCAAGTCTATTATGGAAGCTATAAATTTATTGAGAGGTTTGATGGAGAAGTACAGAGAGAGTAAGGAGGACCAATTTATGATTTTTATGGATTTAGAAAAAAAAAAGCTTATGATAAGGTTCTAATAGAAGTTCTTTAGAAAATTTTAGAAAAGAAAGATGTTGATATGACTTATATTCAAATCATTAAAGATATATATACTGGATTGTTACTTGTGTTCAAACAGAAGGATGATTGATCAAGTGTTTTCCTATTTCAATCAAATTACATTAGATATCAACTTTAAGCCTGTATATTTTTGTTTTAGTTATGGATGCTCTTACTGGACATTTACAGGAGGATGTACCTTAGTTTATGCTTTTCGCGGATGATATCTTTCTTGTGGATAAGATTATAGAAAGAGTTAAGTGAAAATTTGAATTATGGAGATCTACATTACAGTTTAAAGTCTTTCCTTTGAGTAGATCTAAAATTGAATATATTGAATGTAATTTTAGTAGTTGCTCTGGTGGCAGAATTGTAACTATGAGTTATCAAATCATTAAAAGGTGTGAACATTTTAGATATCTCGGGTCTATTATTCAGCATGACAGTGATATAGATAGGATTGCTATTAGTAGAATCATGTTGGTTGGTTGCAATGGAGGAATGCATCAGGCCTATTATGTGATAGAAAATTACTGCTTAGACTTGATGAAAAAATTTATAAGATGATAGTGAGACATGCATTGCTTTATGGCACAAGTTGGCCTTTAAAAGAGAAGCATAAAACAAAGTTAAGTGTTGCTGAGATGAGATCGCTTAGGTAGATGAGTGGCTTGACACATAGAGACAAAATGCAAAACGAATCTACCCATGAAAGGGTTGATGTAGCTTCAGTGGCAACAAAGATTAGAGAGAGTCATCTTAGATGATTTGGTCACATTGAACATTGACCATCTGATGATCCTTGTAGGAGGGTAGATGTTTTATATTAGACTTATGTTATGAAAGGCAAATGTAGACAAAAAAAAAATTGAGCATATTGTATAAAAAATGATCTTAATCTATTAGAATTAAAGAAAATATGACACTCAATATACATCATGGAGAAAAAAATTATTCATGTAGTCGACCCCACTTAGTGGGAAAAAGGCTTGTTGTTGTTGATGTATGCTTTCATTATAGTGAGTTATAAAAATTGTTTAATAGTATGTTTGTACTTCATTTTAAATTGAACATATTTGAACTATGTTTGAGTACAGTTTAAACTTTGCTCAAGGCTTATTCTAATCTTATCAAGAAAACTACCTTTTTTCTTGCATCATCAATCATTTACTCATTTTTTTTATGAATATCCTACTATGTCTTCTTTATGTTCTCTTTTGTACAGTAAAGAATATTTATCTATTATTCACCTTTGGAAAGTAATTAGTAAGTTTATAATGTCGTTGTTGTAGAAATGAGTGTTCAAATCATATTTAAACCAAGATTAAATCATATTTGAATGACAATTGAACAACATGATTCATATTATATTTGAACATGATTTGAACGTATTCGAAAGAGCACATTATGATAGTTTAAACATGTTCTAATAATGTTTGATTATTTTTTTAATACAGTTCAAACATGATTCAAATAAGACCAAAAGTGTGATTTGAACAAAGCTCAATCTAAAAGTGTTCAAATAATGTTTGATAAATAATTGAAGAAGGTTTGAAAGTTTTCCAAATATATGTTATAAGAAAGTTTGAAACCCAATATTTGATACTCTATCCAGTTACACGATTGCTTTGTCAAAATAATCTAATATATAAAATATGATAAAACATTAAAAAAAAGGCATTTGAATCCAAATTTGTCGTTGGATCACATCTTAAAGTATCAGAGCATTATAAAGAAGAGAGAGTGTGTGAGAGAGAGGAGGGCAACACGAATTTCCACTCTAAAGTAAACTGGGACATTCCCGGGCTCTTGAGACCTTTTTTATATAATCGAATATTTTTGATATATAAGAGAAGGGAGAGAGCCTAAAAAGGGAGGTTCCTCTTACATGAAACAACCCTTTATTTATAGTAGAGGGACTGCAATGAAGAAATATTATATTTCTAATCATTCTTTAATGAGGGTTGTACATGTTATTTTGGTAATTTTATATCAGTCAGCTCATGGCTCGACTATCTTTAGGCTTGTCCAGGTTACTGGTCGTCAAGACTTCTATCTTCTTGATTTCTGGTCATCGGGACGTCTGGCTGTCGAGACTTCTGGTTGTCCCTCTGAGAGATTCGGTCTGACACATTTTTTGTGTACAAATACCCAAGTTTGTTGAAATCATTGACAAAATAAAGAACTCCATTGTAAGAGTCAATTTATATTTGCGAGCAATAAAATCTTGAATGTGATAATGCTAATATAGAAGAATTATGGGAGATGATAATTGAGCATAGGTTAAGACGTGACACAAAACTTACTCATAATCAATTTATATTTATGCGGGGCAAGTCTATTATGGAAGCTATAAATTTATTGAGAGGTTTGATGGAGAAGTACAGAGAGAGTAAGGAGGATCTATATATGATTTTTATGGATTTAGAAAAAGCTTGTGATAAGGTTCTAATAGAAGTTCCTTAGAAAATTCTAGAAAAGAAAGATGTTGATATGAACTTATATTCAAATCATTAAAGATATATATGTTGGATTTGTTACTTGTGTTCAAATAGAAGGATGATTGACCAAGTGTTTTCCTATTTCAATCAAATTACATTAGATATCAACTTTAAGCATGTATATTTTTGTTTTAGTTATGGATGCTCTTACTGGACATTTACAGGAGGATGTACCTTAGTGTATGCTTTACGTGGATGATATCTTTCCCGTGGATAAGATTAGAGAAATAGTTAAGGGAGAACTTGAATTATGGAGATCTACATTACAGTCTAAAGGCCTTCCTTTGAGTAGATCTAAAATTGAATACATGGAACATAATTTTAGTAGTAGTAGCTCTGGTGGCAGAATTGTAACCATGAGCTATCAAATCATTAAAAGGTATGAACATTTTAGATATCTCGGGTCTATTATTCAAAGTGACGATGATATAGATAGGATTGCTATTAGTAGAATTAGGTTGGTCGGTTGAAATGGAGGAATGCATCAGGCCTATTACGTGATAGAAAATTACCGCTTAGACTTGATGGAAAATATAATAAGATGATAGTGAGACATGCATTGCTTCATGGCACAAGTTGGCATTTAAAATAGAAGCATAAAACAAAGTTAAGTGTTGCTGAGATGAGATCGCTTAGGTGGATGAGTGGCTTGACACTTAGAGACAAAATGCGAAATGAATCTACACATGAAAGGGTTGATGTAGCTTCAGTGGCAAAAAAGATTAGAGAGGGTCATCTTAGTGGTTTGGTCACATTGAACATTGACCATCTGGTGATCCTTTTCGGAAGGTAGATGTTTTATATTAGACTTATGTTTTGAAAGGCTAAGGCAGACAAAAAAAAAAGGGCATATTGTATAAAAAATGATCTTAATCTATTAGAATTAATGAAAATATGACATTATGAGAGCTTTGTTCAAATACCACTTTTGGCCTTGTTTGAATCTATAATGGACCAAAATCCCTCTTAGAAATTCGGCCTGACACATTTCCTGTGTACAAATACCCATATTTGTTGAAATTATTGAAAAAATAAAGAACATTGTGAGAGTCAATTTATGCTTGTGATCAATAAAATATTGAATGCGATAATGTTAATATATGGAAATAGTGAGCTTTTATTCTCTCTTGACTATAATATAAAATCTAGAATGAAATAATGCTAATATATTTAGTTCAAAATAAGCATTTAGTCATATTTCCAAAAGAAATAAAAATCCGGCATATATCTCCAAACTTTGCTATAATGGGCCAAATATATACTAATTTTCGTAAATAATGTTTGTTTGTTTATATATCAATAAAATCATGTATCCTAGAGGGTAGCTTTTATAATTTTATAGAAGAATTTGTTACTTTATTTATTCTTTCTAAGGTATCTACTACAATTATAATTTAAAATATTTTTCTCCCAAATTATCATAAGAAGTTTATTATTATTGATTTTCTAATGCTATTTAAAAAATCTAAATGTCACATAAATAAATATTAAATTTATTTATTATTAGCCATATAAATATATATAAATTATAATATCTCCATGAAAATTTACATTTTTGTAAAGTAGTTGCGTGTGGAGCAGTTTGTGCATTTCAAGATAAGCTGTTTATCCCAAAACACAGTCCGCACTTATAAGCTGCCCCCAAACTGATCTTTCAAGTTTTTGTTTATATCATGTCAATGTTCATATCGCTTCAAAAATTGCATTTTTACCAACTTTAGAACAGTGAAATAAACATTTCATACAAAAGTAAAGTGATATAAATGTAAAATTGAAAATCTGGATGTTATGTATGTAAATACATTAGAATCATACGGTATGCATGCAAATCTTCCTTTTTTTTAGAAATCAAAACCCTGGAAAAAATAATCTAATTCCATAAATATTTCCAGTTCCAAACCCTAGAAACTTAAATTAAATGAAAATAAAAGAATGTGAGAAAAATTGACACAAATTTCTTCATTTCATTCCATCAAAACTCATTCTTTCATTCCTCCCAAGGGAAGAAAGCGAAGATTTACATCTCCGTCGTCATCCGGATGAGATCGACCTCTGCCCCGCCTCTCTGGTGACAGCTAAAACCCTCAAAATCCCCTTTTCACTCCATTTCAATCTCGCGACAGCGATTTGTAGTGTCACCTCGCGATCGATCTGTTCATTTTTTTGTCTTTGCGTCTAAGTTACGGCGGCGAGTTCTTCCACTCGGTCTTGGTCGTACCGTCATCGCCAAGGTTTTGGTCGGCAGGATCAAATCAGATGGGATTGTTGGCAATGGGTCTGCCTTTAGAGTGCGGATTATGAACGCTTTGAAGTGGGGTTTCGTTTCCCGTCGTCCTCTGGGTTTCTGTAAGAAAGATGTCGGATTCGTCAGCTTTGGTCGCTGCTATCGAGGCGAGGTTCAGCAATTTAGAGCTGATCGGGAGGGGCTCCTTTGGAGATGTTTTCAAGGGGTAAGGGCTTTTTTATTGGAAATAGATTCTGCTTTTCTTTTGTTGATTGGGTTAGGTGCCTTGTTTAAGGTTTGTGTAAACTTGTTGGGGATATCAATGTCTTACACTAAATATTGTGCCATTGTACAATTGAGAAAAAAAAAATTTCCTTTGGCCTTTGCATTTCTATTAAAATGCGTATTTTAACTGAGTTTTGTTCTCCATGAATATAGAGATCATATTTAGGATTGGCGATGAGTTTATATCTTTATGGTAAATTTGATGGCCACCATTCTCATATTTTAGCTTATCAGATCTCTTGTTCTCTTCACATTTTCTGTTGTTGTAGCTTAAAGTCTACTATTTTTGAAAATCCACTTGTGGTATGGAGGCTATGTTGATTCTGCCTTTTACATACAAGTAATCTTGGACTGTTTGTGCAAAGGAAGATGAATTATGTTGATGAAATCATAGTTGGATTTGGGAATGTTTGGGGATGGTAATTGATTTTGCTGGAATTGGATTTAGGTTTTTTGGGTGGAGGACGGTAGGAAATGATGTAAATGTGTATTGAGAACTTGTAAGTTAATGTGGATTGTTTTCTGGGTTACCTTTATGTGAATAAGGTTCAAGTATAATACAAGAAGGGGAAGGCAGATTTTTCTTTCAGATATTGTGTTAAAGGCCGGATCATGGAAAAATTAGAGAGCTTTGTCCTCAAGTTCATAAATTCTGGAATTTAGTAGTGTTTTTACTGTTTTGGCAGAATCAAATAAGATAATTCGAATTCATTCCATTTTGAGAAGATAACTTATTGCAAGTTGTTGGAGCTAGTGTTATGAACGAGCTTGCATACTTTCTGTATATGCGATGCTTATTTTTCTGTAAGTGAAATGATACTGGGGATGCTTGCTTGCCTGAAATTTATCATTTTCTTACTTGGCATGCATTGAGCTTCATTTGCTATTGGAAGTTTCTTTTAAAAAAAAAAAAAATTAGCACTTTCATGGCTTGCTATTATGTGCTTCCTGTATGGCCAAATGCATAAAGCTTGAAATTTCTGAATATGGAGGATGCCATTTAAAAACAGATTATCTTATCTGCGAAAGTGATATTTTTAAAATTTGTGAGAATATTAATTTAGGATTTGAACTTTGAAGTATAATGGAGTGTCGATGCTCTTAGATGAAATTTCTGATCTATATATAGAGCATCACAATGTATACGATACTAAAAAATGTTCATATAGAAATGGACTATCCGAGACGTCAATCTTAAATCTATTTACTCCAGTGTTCGATATCTATCGTTACAAAGTAAAATTTCACTTTAGTTCTATTGAAGCATCAATTTTTTTCTAGAAAGCATCCATCGGTTATTTGCTTTAAACTAGATGAATGGAACTTTTAAAACAACTGTCCTTTTGTTCAGGAAAATTGTTATGTTTTCCTTTTATATATTATCATTTTGATAAACTATGAGATAATTTATTTGAGAAGCACACAATAAACAAATAAAGAATATGCAGCTAGTGCTTTCAGATTTGGGGCACTGTTATGAAGTGCTGCCATTGTTGTCAATGAAGCTTGGACATGTTAAATTAGCAATTTTCTGTGTGTAGAATTAAATTTAATGTATTGTTAAAAATTTATTTTTATTGCTACCATAATTCAGGTTTATCAATAATTTTTACTTCCCCACAATTAATTGGAAATTAGTTACTACTCGTACAATGGGTGTGGAGTTTGGCTTTCTGTAGGTTTGAGTTGTAGAGAATACTAGCCTATGAATGCTATATTTGGCACCCCCTCTTATAAATATAGAAATTCTGTCAAGTTTACTTCTATGTTGCAGGTTTGACAAGGAGCTCAATAAGGAAGTTGCCATCAAAGTTATTGATCTGGAAGAAGCGTAAGCGCCTCTTTCCAATAGCCATTATATCTAACTTATTCTTTTATTAGCTAGCTTTTGCTTATAATGATTTTTTTGTTTTTTATTATTGGCTTTTAATGGGATTACTTCAGTCAATATTTATGCCATTAGGTATTCAATTATGTTGCTTGGTTGTTGTTTTTTTACTTCATTTTTTACCATCTTAATTGTTTCAGCATTATACCTTGAGACAATTTGTGATCACAGGCTAGGATAAATGTGCACCAAGTCACATTTTCTTTAATTGAAATAAGCATGCAAAGCAAGAAGCAATCATATTGCTCTGACTTATTGTCTAGGGAGAAGTTTAATAACAAATGTTGCCATTAATTCTTTATAGCAATACGTAACTACTGTCATTTTATTTTGGTGATGATTTAGTATTATATGTATATGATAATACAATCAATCTGGTTTTGAAATCTAGTAACAAAATGCGCAAACTTGTGGGCCATCTAATGTTCCTTCTCATGAAAAAAGCAACAATGAATTATTGATTAAAGTTTAAGACATTAACTTTCCTAATAAGTTGTAATTGTTTTTCATTTGGTGATGCACTTTCAGTGAGTGCGTGAACCTATTCAAAATGATAGAAAAGCTGCTGATTGACATGAAAAATATCATTGAAACTACTATGACCATGTCTTGTCAGAAAGAAGAAATGTTTTGTTATCATTATTTAGTCATTGATTGAAGACAGTTTTCGTCATGTTATTATTCTTTTTCTTTTTTCCTTTCTTGCAAGCATATTTATTGGCCGTTCTAGCTTTTGTCCATTTACCCCTTAAAATCTATTGAGTCGGTCACTTGTCCAGATTTTCTTGCTAAAATTTAGAGGTGTATTTCAGTCAAGTAGAAAAGAATTGTTAGCCTAACTTTAAGTTAAAAATTTTAAGATTTTTTTGCTCAGTCTGATAGACATTATTGAAAAAAAGTAATCTATTTACATAGAATTACCAAAGAGAGCGCTTATGTATCAAACATGCTGCTACATGCAAGCCTAATGTTAAACTCCTCTTACTGTTAATTAACATGCCTCCAAATATCTTAGTCACATTATAGCAATATTTATTAAATTACGTTGTAAATGATGTGGACTTAGTAGAGATCTTTAGGGTAGATTTTTATCGCAATCACTCACTTCCTACACAACCAACAAAAACTGAATTTGCTTCGAGGTTTTTTGGGACTCATATGGCATGGCTTTTGTTGTTGTTTCTAGCTCATAGGATGAGGGCTATTTATCGTGTGCCTATTCCTCTTGACACTTAGAGCATTTTGATTCGATTTTTTGCAGTTATTCTTGTTTTTATTTGGCAGTTGGGGATCCTTTTGAGGTTTGCACTTGATGAACGTTGATTTGGATGGGTAGGTTCAAATGGCATCTCACATTAAGGTTGAGTAGATTGGCCTTGGTCGAAGCTCTTTAAGGAAGGCTCTGTAGAGGAGTTATGGGTTGGCTCTTGGAATGTGGTGAACTCAGTTGAAAACCTCATGAATGCCTTTAAGAGGCTTGCCTTAATTTGAGTAGATGCCTGATAAATAATTAATCATTTCAATAATAATTTTATTAATAATGAATTTATCGACGAAGAGCCTAGTCAATTTAAAAATTATGTTGATTGTGCTATAGAGAAGAAATAACATCATGTTTGGATTTGCCCCCTGAGTGTAACAAAGAATATTCAATAAAGGAGCTAGTCTAATGTTGGATATTTATAATGATTTGAGCTCATAAAGATTTATGGATTATCCTAAGTTTCTATAGAAGCATCCTGAATTTTTTGGGGATCTAGTAGCCTAGTATGGAAGCTAAGAATGGTGAAACTATTCAATGATCTCACTTGAGAAGAGGTTAGCTTCTCCACCCGTCCCCTCCCCTCCTGACAATGATATTTCTCTCTTTAGACTGTTGTTTATTCTACAGGTTGTTTTTCTAGGTAGAAGAGTGTTCTCTATTTCTTCTTCAATTGGAGGCAAATGCATCAAATTAAAAATGTTCAATTGTTCATTGTCTCATAATTATGGTGGAGGAGGTGGTTATATGTTGGCAAGGTATTGCTGCGAGTATTCTCAATATGATGCTCCTTGACTTGCCCTGGATTGAGGATGAGATGTTTCGTGGGGGTAAAAGGGTTGGCATGTGGTGATCTTACTTGGAAAGGTTATTGAACTAAGCATTATGCTTAAATTTGCGCCTTTTTTATCTATAGCATTTGATCTTCCTGAGATGAGGCGAAAGTTCCTTCTTATGCCATGCTTTTTTGCTCAAGTAGACGCTGAAGTGTTGATATTTGGCTTCATGACAATTGATTTGTCTAATAATTTCTTATTGGGATATGGGATGGCATGAATCCACAACATTACACATCGCATCATCTGATCATGAAGTGATTATAGCATTGGATAGGAAGTGTTGAATTTCATGTGTTGGATCTTTTGTTGTTTGTGGGTTATGACAATTATATTAACACATAGAAAGAAAGAAGGATAGAGCTAATGGAAAATAGAATAGAGAAGGGAAAATCCACTATAATTGAATAAGTGCTTTATTAATTGAATATAGACAAGGATTTGAGTTATAGCGTACTATGAAGAAAAAGTTACAAAATGAGCTGTACATGTTATACATCCAATATAATATAAAAAATATGAGCGAATGCTTTGAGCACATACTCAAACTTGATTTTGTTGTAGGTTGTCGGATATAGATGAATAGTTGAGCCTCTTATTCGCATCAGCCAAGTAGATTCTTCTGATAGGGATGATTGCTTGGGCCTGGATCAGTTTGTTGAGTCTGGTGATAGCCTTGAGTAAGTTCATTTTAGGTTTAGTGGATATACCCTCTATGATTGACAATTATGTTTGCCTTCTCCCTCATGTGTTCATGCTTTAAATTCTGCTAGCAAGTTTATTGTAATTCGGTTGATGAGTTCATCTTGAATTTGGCTAGCAAGTTTTAATATAAACTGGGCAAGCCTACTCTTAGGAGATAAAACATGACTTTGAGTATTTTTAGATTTGCGATTAGTTAGTTGGAGTGAGAAGACTTTTAATAATAAATGTTGAATTGTTACTTGTTGAAGTTAGTAGAGATCTTCAAGTATGCCTTTCACATTGATAACTTACATTTGAAACGCACAACTAAAAAAAATGTGAATTTGTCTCAAATATGTTTCCTTGGGATAACACTTGATGCTTGTTTTAATAAACGAGAATGAAACCTGGAAAGGTAGGAAACCTAGAAAGGTAGGCCTGGTTGAATTTTTCCTTGGAAATTTCATAAAATAATGATAGTTCCAAGAGTTTAGGGACACCTTACATATGGTGGGAGTGAGATATTTTTATAGGTGAGAGTGGAGGATAATTTAATACTTTTGTTGAAATAAATATTGAGGGAGGATATACTTTATACTTGAAATTAATACTATATGAAGCTATGCTTAGCTGAAAGGATATTTTAGTCCGCTAATTGATTGGGGTTTTGAAGAGGAGACACTTTTTCCTCTGAGATAGTTGGATTATTTTGTCATTTGATGTGATGGGCTGATAAATGGAGCGCTCATGCTTTGAGATCCCATGTTTGTAGATTGACATTTGGTTGTTAGATGGCTTTTAGATTGTCATTCGGTTTATCTGAATTGGACTTGTGGATCTTGGTGTGTTTTTCAAGTTTTGTGTTTAATTCTTTTAGTTTGATTGAAGGGCATTGTAGAACTAGAGGAGATGTGATGGTGGCGATCTAGAGATAAGATTACTTCAATATCTCCTTATTACATAGAGATTTTGGAAGCATCAATCTTGGCATTGTTGTTTGGACGATCAATATTAATTGGTATATTTTATAATTTTATAGGAAAATACCACTAAGTAAAAAATATAATGACGTTAATATGGAAAATTTATTGTCACTATTTTTTTGGGACATTATATTGGGAAATATTTGAACAATTGAATAGTCTTAAGCCACAAATGGATTTTTAATATCATTTAAGTTGTTCAATTAATAAAGACAATCACTCATTAGATTTGGTGCAACGTTACATTAAAGAACATAAAAAATTCATAGTAGCATTTTTTGTATTACTGAAGGAATGAGAGTTTTTGAGCATTTAGGTGTGTAAACAAGTCTAGTCAAGCTCGATTCACAACTATCTCAAGCGTAGCGTTTTGGTAAACAAATTAGTCTCAAACTCATGCTCGAGTCAAACTTATATATGGAGCTCAACTCGTTGATTTATTGGCAAGCTTATGCTTGACTTGTGAGCTCAAGGTTGTCCGAGAATCTTGAGGAAATTGTGAAGGAGACTGGTGGAGAAAAGAGGAAGTTGTGATGGGTCTGATAGGGTTTGAAGATGAAGTCGTGGCTACAACTTGGTGGACACATGAGCAAGTAACTTCTTCGCTCTCAAAAATTGATGGAGAAGAAGTGGAAGTCATGCAGACAACATGTTGGAGATAGGATTAGCAAGGTTTGAAGATTGACGAAGTTGCAATGGCAACTCAATGAAGATGGGAGCTTTGAAGTTTCTCCTGATGGAAGTCACTCTTCGTGAGTCTCACAATGGCATTTGAAGTAGAAGAGGAAGTCACGATGAGACAATAATGTCAGATGAAAAGTAACTTGCAATGGGACTCATGGAGCAGAGCGAAATGCCCTAAAGAAATTTAATCGAGTTAGTTTTCTAGCAAATGCACCGAGTTGGTTTAAAATCAAACATGGGCTTGTATATTATATGAGTTTTTATTTGAGCTTGAGTTTGTGACTTGATAAACTTAATTTATGAGCTCGTTATTGGGTCGATTTTGAACATGCTGACGAGCCTGCTGACTTACATCTCAAGGGGTACTTAAATTTCTTGATTGTAATTTTTGGTGAATGACAATCTTCATAATAACACAAATTGGTTTGTTTTAATGGCATGGAATAACATTATTGTTTCTCAGGGAAATCTTTTAAATTTCCTGGCAGTATGGACTTGTATGTTGATTATTGAGTTTTCACCTTATATATTTTCCTATTAAAGCTTAGACCTTCAGGTGCATTAATTTGTTGTTCTCTTGTGGTTTGCCGGGAATGCAAATTTCATTCCAAACCAGTACTTCCAATCTTTGCTTTGTCCAGTATTATCAACTTTTGACCGCATCTCTTTATATCATCCTATATTATGTTTTGTATTTCCTTATTAAAGCCTGGACTTTCAGACAAAAGAATTTATTTTTCTCCGGTTGTGTGCTTGGAATGCAAATATTGTTCAAATTCATTATTTCCAATGGAGGATAATCAGCTTATATAATATTCGTAGTAGAAACAGAAAGTTCCTACAATTGGAAGAAAATTTCTGCTTCTCATCCTTTTTGTTTGAGCTCCTTTGCCTTAAAGAAAATAGATGAATGCAATGAACAGCATTCTCTGAAGTCACGGACTTGTTTTCTACTTGCCGTTAACTCTGCTGCTTTTTTTTTTTGTCTCGATATATTTTTTCTTTCATATATTTTTTCTTTCATACTTATATATTAATCTACTGGGAGATTTCAATTACATGTGCTCATACCAGTGTTATCAAAGCGCAACGCGATGCGTAAGGCTTAATTTTTTCTTCAAAGCATAACACTCAAAGCGAAATGACGTTTGTATTAACTAAAGCAATAATATATTATATAAAATTATTAATGTATAAATATATTCATTAACATTTATAAAATATAAAATATGACTTAAAAGTTGATATTAAATTGAAAAGAATGTGATACAATACCTAACTTGAAGGCAAACATTGTCAGTGAACCTATAAATTAAAATTTTGAACAATTTTTAATAGTTGCCGTGATAATTCAAAACTTAAAATTGCAAAAAAAAATGCTAATTAACTTCAGCACTTCAAAGCACACTTCGATTTGCTTATGAAGCACGCTTTTAAAAATATTGGTTCATACTAAGCTATTTGACTGCCTGATGGGGTGTATATGGTTGTCATCTTCTCCCTCATTTGGTGGACTGTTGATTTATTTTTAGCTCCTATGTATGCAGATTTTATGAAGATTGTAAATATATTCATTGTTTACCCTGTTTATGTTAAAAATTCTCGTTTCTGTAGAATTTCTTGGTAACATTTTATTCTTTAATCATTTACCTTTCAAATTACTAACATCTAATCTTCTACCTTAGAGAGGATGATATTGAAGACATTCAAAAGGTATGGCACAATGAAAATTCTATTTTTAGGCCTATTCAATTATGGGATATTTATCTGAAAAATGTATGTTTTATGCTGCCAGGAAATTTCAGTTTTGTCACAGTGTCGCTCTCCATATATAACTGACTATTATGGTTCTTATCTCCATCAAACAAAACTATGGATAGTTATGGAGTACATGGCGGGTGGTTCTGTTGCTGATTTGGTAGGTTCATGCAATCATATTAACTTTGATAGTTTTGGATAATAAAAAACAGTTTGGCTACTTTCTATAGAATGTCAATAAAGGGATTTACTTTTGTGAAGGCTCCAACTACATTTTTAGAAAAAAGAGATTTTGAATGGTCAAAATCTATTAAACATGCTTTTGCTTAAATTTAAGAGATATTTTCAAATGCACATATGCTTAAATTTATTGATTTTTTGTAAAGTTTTTGATGTTTCCTGTGATGAATTTGATACATGTATTAGTAGAATTTTAAGTTAATATGGGCATATGATTGTTTTTTAATAAGAAATTGAATGAGATTAAGCAAATTTGTTTAAATATGATCAAAAATTCTATTTTATTGCGCAAGCACTAATTTATCAGAATCAATTCAAGTATATATATCTTTTAAAAAGCATTAGGATTAGCTCAAATTTTGAATTAGCTTAAATCTGAATGATATCATTGATTTCTATGTTTTAAGTGTAAACACAAACAATTTGGTTTTGTACTTCTTACCTGTGCCTTCCTATATCAAAATCTTGTAATTAGTATATTCAATATAGCTTAGTTTTTGTTGTACTTTTGCTCTTGTAGCTTCAAACTGGTCCTCCATTGGATGAAATGTCAATAGCATGCATTTTACGAGACTTGCTGCATGCAATTGATTATCTTCACAGTGAAGGAAAAATTCACAGAGATATCAAAGGTCACTTCCTAAGTTAATTTTCCGTTATATTTTTGTCCAAACAAACTTTTATGCATCATTTTCTGCAATAAATAAAAAACTGCACTATAATTTCATTCAATCCATGTTATGGCATCTATTATGTTTAAGTTCTTAAATTATGCTCTGAACATATTATTATTTTGGCAGCTGCAAATATTTTGTTGACTGAAAGTGGAGATGTGAAGGTATGTGAAGCCATTTTTTGCACAAATAGATGTATGGTGTTCAACAGGCGTAAAAATGTTCTTTGTCAGCCCATTTACTCATCTTAATTTTTTGCCTTAGGTGGCAGATTTTGGCGTTTCTGCTCAACTAACAAAGACAATTTCTAGGCGCAAGGTGACGCTTTTCTTTTGAGAATTTGTCTGCAAATCCTATTATTGTTTTATCTTATTTGATTTGGTTACATCTTTGGTATTATTCTAGCCATATTTAACTTGAGTACATACTCATACATTTTTTAGTCATATCCAAATTATTTTGGATTGTTATGCAATCTTTTGTATACCTTATGCATGGTTTAGATACGTAGCAAGGGTTGTAGCTAATGTGCATGAGCATTTAATTCCTCAACTTTGGTAGCTTCTATTCAAAGCCAAATATCTCCGCGCTTAAACCTATAACTTTGTCATTTCAATGTGAAATTTCTTGAAATAATTACTCATATGGACTGGAAGCATTATTAGTGTATTATTTTATGTTTATCTTAATTTTAAGTTTTTGGCTCTTTAAGTTTAAAACAGATCAAATACAAAGTTTAGTTTTGAGGTATTAGAAATACCCTAAACATCAAAGTTTCCTTGCATTTGAAGATTGTGATTGGAAGCATTAGAATTGTACGAATATATTTACCTTCATTTTAACTTTTGTAGTGCTGGGTTTAAATACCCTAAACATCAAGTAATTTTGAGTTTTCCTGCTGTAAATTATAATCCTTTTGCTCAAACTTTAGCTTTGAAGGTTATTTTAGCAGTTATTCACTATGAGATTGTGTGTTCTTTTGACTGGGCTATTAGTGTGTGTTACACACACAGATATATACTGGGTTTCTTCATTTTTGCATTTAGTAAACCTGTAAAATATAAAGCATGCACAATGGAGTCTATTATCCCGGCTATATCCTGAATGCATATCTTCAAAAGATTCGAGTCTCTGCTAGCGACTACCTTAACTGGATAGAGACAGCTGTTTCCATCTGCTTATGTTGTATTTTAGCTAATTAATGTTAAATACTGTTTGCTATCTTCCACCAATTTCTATTTCATCTTCATCCATCTATCTGTAATTCTGTTAAATATCCATGCCAACTTCTAAAAATAATTTAGTAATGCCATAAGGCTGTTAATTTCTCACTCTTATTATGCTTTTGTATGTGTATTGTCTATTTTGATATGTTGTTTGCTGATAAGTTGAGCCTTTTTAGACTTTTGTTGGAACTCCCTTTTGGATGGCTCCTGAGGTTATTCAGAATTCAGAAGGATATAATGAAAAGGTGTGCGTGTAACTTTTTAAATATGCCTAATTTATGAATGAAATATTTGTGATACATTTTCATGATGCAGGCAGATATTTGGTCCTTAGGTATAACTGCTATAGAAATTGCTAAAGGAGAACCGCCTTTAGCAGATATGCATCCAATGAGGGTTCTATTTATGATACCACGGGAAAATCCCCCTCAGGTTTGACTTCAATCTTTGTTTCTGCAATAGTGACAATCTTCTCTTTGTGGTTATGCTGGGTAATTGTAGATTTCTCTTTGATGCAGTTGGATGAGCATTTCTCACGACCTTTAAAAGAATTTGTCTCATCATGTTTGAAAAAAGCACCTAATGAGGTAATTTTAAAATCAGCAATACCATTTTATTTAGTTTATTCTTAAACTCATTGTAATTAATTCCGCGATTTAGTCATGGAGTTTGCTAAGTGATGTTTTAGAGCCTAATCTATCAAGTGTTAATCAAGAAATCTACGATGCATAGATATAGTGTTGACCTTATTTTTAGTGAGGTCTAATCTTTCTCTTAGGATTTAGGATCTAGCCTTAGGGACTTCCCTTCGACTATCTTAGAACCTTAGAAATGGGACCCACCTTGTTCTAGAAATTCAACCCGCTTCCGTCCTCTTCTGGAGTTTCGCGTGTGTGGTATCAATTTCTAGCACTTAGAATGATGAAACCAACATGAGGAAACCCAAAAGGGACTTCCTATAGGACCTTCCTGAGCTTTAGGGTGGCATTTTGCACAATTCGCACTCCCGCGCACAAAACTTCGCAATTCGGAGAGTCGACACGTCCGATCGCCACAATTCGCATCGCTTGCACTGTTACCCGTCGAAGACTCGAATAAACCTTTTTGAGACGATCGATCGCGGGTCGAAATTATGGGAAATTTGAATTTCGACGCGTTTTTGACCCGATTGTCGACGTCCGAACGACCCCGGATGACAAAACGAACTGCGCCGGCGCGTCTAGGACGTCGATTTTGCCTAGGGAGGACACTCATTTTGTTACGTCGCCGCGCACGAATAAATCGGATATAATATAATGTATATATATATATATATATATATATTTATCCTCTTTAGCCCTAACTCCCCATTCTCCGCGTCCGAGCTCTGCCTCCCTTCCTTCTCCCGTTCGCGCGCCTGGCCTTTCCCTTTCTCGGTCTCGAGCCGAGCGAGCTCTTCCTTCACGCGAGAGAAAGTTGACTTTCGCTTGCGTCCTTGCCCGCGGCCTTCTTTCCCGAAGCCGCGCCAGTCTCCTTGAGCCGTGGATTTCCTTTTCTTGGTAGTTTGACTCTGGGAAGCTTGTTCCCTGGTACACTTGAATGGCATTTCTTCTCCTCAGTCTCGCCGCTCGGTTCTAGAGACTTCGGTGGCTTCGCCTTTTGTGAGCAGGGAGCGTGGCCCTTTTTTTCTTTTGCCGTCCTTTTTCTTCTTTGGCCCGATTCGAGTGTTGTGGACTGTTGAGGGTGTTCTTCTTTCTCTTCTCTCTATTCTCTGCCTATATACACAGTTCCTTTTGAAATTTTTGAGGTTGTTGGAAAAATTTTCAGAGAGGAGAGTAGAAATTTTGGTTGTGAGGAGTTTGGGGAGAGAATTTCTGTGAGAGCGTTTCTTTGAGGCGAACTCTTGTGTTGCAGGGCTTTACTTTAGCATTCTTGAGGTATCATTCTTCCCCCCTCTTCTTCGGTGCTCTGTTTCTTTTCGGTTTTCCTCTCTGCCGGGTCTTTGAACTTGGCTCTGTTGGAGAATA